TCAACTATCTAAACTATCGCTAATATATCTAATATATCTAATTTCTCAATTATCTGAAATAAATCAAAGAAATCAAAAAAAATATATATATTACAGATATCTCATTTTTCTCAGATTTGTCATTTTTGGGATCATCATTGCATATATTCATGTAACCATGCAATTTCCCTTTCACACTAACCATTTTCCAACAATTCAGTTAATATTCTTCCCATATGCTCTATTTGCTTTGTCTTTCTGCCATTTTATTATTGATTACCTTATATATTGTCAATAGAATTTTATCTTTCTTAATATTTATTTCCTTTGCATTCTAATATTGTGTTTGCTGCTTTTCTTTTCCTTTATTTCTATACTCTACTTCTTTTGTTTTTCTTGTGATACCATCTACTACTTCCATAAAGTATTGATTTTCTCTTTCATGTTCTTGATTTTCCTTTCTAAGTTAGTCAACCTCTCTCTAATTCCTTTTTGTTCTCTACTTTCTTTTTTATATATTGATCTGGATCTGTTATACTTTCTCAATATTTCTGTGAAAGATATGAGTGTCACTTTTTATGGTTCCTTTTTAAACTTTGATTGGATTGATACAAATTTCACTTGAGAGATAGATTTGTCTCTCTGAATTCTTACCTCATTATATTGAAAAGTGATATGTTCACTTTGTCCATATTTGTAATATAGTCTTTCATATTGGTCTACAAAATTGATTGTTGCCCTATCCAATTTGAAGGTTTGTTTCTTTACTGCTTTTAATTAATCCTCTATTTCGAATGCTATATATGCAAATCTTTCACTAAAGTATCTGATTGTTTTTGAAATATATAAGGTTTTTCCCTCTGTTTTTTTTACTATTTCTTCTAGATTATATGTGGTAATACTTGCTGGCAATCCTGCTAGTTTAAGTATATATTTGGATTTTCTTATAAGTTCCTCTTTCTCCTTCTATTTTGAAAGTATTCTTAGGTATTCTTTTTCAAAAGAGATTAATCACATTTTGACAAGGAGTTATATATTTTTTTCTTTTTTGAAAATCATTGTTACTGTTTATCACATTTTTACTACTTAAATATTTATAGTATGAATATCCCCAAATTTTCTTAGTATTGTTTTGATTGCTTCTTCACTTGCTAAAAAGGTGATGTCTCTAACTATTACTGTGTTTTTTTTCTTCTAATTGGTATTTCTTTTGTTCCATCAAAATTAGATGTTTTCTATTTTCATCTATATCAAAGTTAATATCATATGCTTTCTGCATGTCAATAAGATTTCTAAAATTAACAATAATTGTTTTTTTTTTCCTACTGTTTACTCCCAAAAAGAAGTCAAAGGCTATACATGCTTTCTCTATTATCTCTAACATTTCTGTTAATTCCATATCTGCTACAAGCTCCATTTTACATATATGTCTTGGTTTTCTTTCTACTTCTTTTGATTTCCTTTCATTTTTTTGTTCCTTTTTCTTTTCTTTATATGATTCCATTTCTCTTGCTCTAATATCTGATCCTACAATATTTCTGCTTCCTTTTTCTATTTCTGGTTTTTTTTTTTTAATCTCCATTTTTTATTCTTCTGTTGCTTCTTGTGTTTATTTCTTTATTACTTCCTTTTCATCTGTTGTTTCTTTATTTTTTTTCTTTTTTATGTTCATACTTGTCACTTATACTAATATTTTTTTTTTCTTTATTCAAGTTTTTAGATCTGCCTGGTTTTCTTTTGGCAATAGTAGTTGTTATCACTCTTGCTTCTTTAGTTGTATTGATTGTTTTCCTTTCTATACCTCTTTCTCTTTTGTACTTGATATTATTGCTTAACTGACTCCTATTTTTCTTTTCACTTTTTTGTCGCTTTTTAAAATTCCCTAAAAAGACAACTTTTTTTTAATTTTTCACTATATAAAAATAAAAAATAATTTTAATATTTATTTTTCTTTACTGTTTAATAATTTACTATAAGCAAGTAAATAGTAAACTTGATTATATAATCTCTATTAATAGTTTATATATATAGGAGTTGTATCCTGTTTGGAATTTATATCTTTAGATTTGATAGCTTAAGCCAATTGATTTTAATGAAGTGTCTACTAGAAGATTAAGAAACTTGGAAACTTGCTTAGTATGGCCTGTATGATATTTAAGAAGTCATATTTCACTTGGCTAAAAGAGTCTCTAGATTTGATAGCTTGAAACTAATTAATGGACAATAATCAGAGTATTCACTAAGGAGTATATATATCACATTGTGATTCCTCTGCTATATAATGTAAAAGCAAAGAGGTGTGATATATAAGTAACTTAAGTAAGTAGTTAGAAGTATTTACTGTTTTTATAAACAGTTGAATTAGTATATTAGATGATTTAAAACTAGTGATAGAATTTCTATCCCCTAGATAGGTTTTTTTGAAAATATATGATACATCTCAAAAATAAATAGCATATTGCCAGGTTTAATAGTAAATAGGTCAGCATTTAACTGTTATAATAACAATATATAATATTTGATATATAAACTTAGAAATTAATCATTTGTTTAATAAAGCCTGTATTTAATATTGTTCTATTAAAAAAAATAATAAAATAAATTTAATTATATAAGAAATATTGTTATTTTTTTATATATATAAAATTTTATATTTTTACAAATAATAAAATGATATTGTTTATCTATTTTGTAAAAAAAATTAATTAAGGCTTCTAATAATACTACTTTAATATTATTTCAATACCAGTTCAATACTTAATTTTATTATAAATTTTATATGAATATATTATAATTCATATATTAAATTTATTATAGATTGATACTATTTTAATATAATTTTAATATCAATTTAGTACTTTTCAAAGTTTTATTAATTATATTTTTGTTTTAAGACTATTATAAAATTATATGATAAATTCAAATTGTATTACTATTTCTTGCCAAAATTATATAAAAAAAAAGAAATAAAAAAATTATAAAAAGAAAAAAACAATACAAATATATATAATAATAAATAATAATAAAATTATTATCTATTCTATACATGTAATAAGAATTTATAGATCTTTAATACAATTAATACAATTAATTAAATCACTAATAAAACATAAAATAATTGAGTTAGACACAATTATTTTTGAAAATTTTAATAATTGAATCAATAACAAAATAATTTAAACAATCTATTTAACTATTATTTAAAAGATTATCTTGCCAAACAAATTCAAACTTCTTATAATTACTAATATATTTACTTTTTATTATTTGTAATTAGCTAAATTATTTAATTTAAATTGAAATAATATTATTTATTTTTTTTAGATAATTAAAAATAATTATAAGATTCCAAGTTATATTTTAATTTGATAACAAATTAAAATAATGATATTTATTTTAAAAATAATTAAATAAAAGAGTTTTGAAACTATTTATTAATTAAATGAATAATAATTTCAAAAGGTATAACTTAGAAAAAAAATTAATAATAGAAAACTAATATTTTTTTAATTAGAAGTCTTTAAGTATAAAGTTTCAAGAAATATTCTTTTGAAAATATATTTAAACATTCTTGAATATTGTTGTATTAATGGAAATTAAACAATCTAATTAATTATAAGTAGTAAAAAGTAAGTATATTAGCAATTATAAAGGGCTTGAATTTTATTTACTAAAATAATTTTTCAATAATAATTAATATAAATAATAGTTTTTTTCTATATTATTATTATTTTTTTTTTATATATATTTATATTGCTTTTCTCTTCTTACAATTTTATATTACTTTTCTCTTATAATTTCTATAAAAAAAAAATAAAACAAATAGATTTATAGTTGATTATAAAAGTAATTGTAAGTTTTGATTCTATTAAAAGTTTTTGATTTTAATTTTATCTATTAAAAGAATAATATATTACCTTTATAAATTATATCTAGAAATTTCAATTGTTGTTAAATAAGATGAATTGAGAAGATTTATACTTTAAATATATTCTTATACTTGTAATGGTTCTTATGATTTAATAAATAAATGATTTTAATTTAATTGTAAATATAAAATAATAATAATAATAAATTAATTTTTTATTGAAAAATTTTTTAATTCAAATATTAAACAAAAATATCAAAACTATTTATTGCATGAAAAAATCAGAATTTTTAGATTGTTACTGCTAGCACATTATCATACAATATTTTGATATAAAAATACAAAAAATTCACAATTTCCATTTTAAATCTATCAAATTTATTCCAAAATGTTAAATTTCAAAATTTTTTATAATAATATTCAAAGTTTATTTATTTTATTTTGCATACTGTATTTTTTGAATAAGCACGTTCATCCGCACTATATCACGAATATTTATGTGTATTCTCGAATCAGTTATTCGATAAACAGTAGCATATAATTTTCACTTATATTTTTTTTAAAGTAAATTAATGAAAAAATTTTTTGAAAGTTCATTGAAAAATTTTAAAGTTTTCCGTTATGCGTTAAGACAAATAATTACATTAAAATTTACAACAAAAAGTTACACCGTGTAACTTTTAATATCTAATTCGCTATTAGTTTCTTTTTATGGCTTTGTGCACACTTTACATATGAAGTCGCGTTTTTTTCGTAATGTTTAAAGTACGTTTTCACACAGTTGCTTCAAGAGTTTGCCTTCGATACTTCATGCCACATGAAAATAGGATGCTTCTCCAATGATTTCAAATTAAAATTCAATTCATCTCGTATCCAAAACATGGATACCATTTTCGAGAGCGGTAACGAAACTTGCACACAGCAGATTTCGTCCTATCATTTCACGTGATAATTACAAATAAGGAAACAGGCTGTGACATCCTATATAAATTCATTAATTGTGTTTTTACTTGTACAAAATTTTCTTATGGTTTCTTAACGTCTTTTTTAACTTTGAGGCCTTAAACTATATCAAAAGATAAAAAAAAAAAAAAAATTGATTATTCTATTTGCCCATAATGAAATCCCGGGAGACTTTGTTCACTGATTCGACTTTGGAAATTCTCGTACCTCACGGCATAATTAATTGTAATGAAGAAGAGGTCGAAAGTATTTTCACAGCAAAAGCCCGAACTCAAGCATTCTATGGTATTTCTATTGTTAATCGATCCATTATTATTTATCGTAAGTAATCTCACAAGATAAATTTTACAGATGAACTCTTATACTTTTATCTTCACATTGGTCTTCCCGAGGATTCTGGTATCACCGATAAAGA